AAAATTTCTTCATACTGCTTGTTAGGGATGGGCATGATTGGTCGACTGACTGATAATTGATCATTAAGAATTTTGTCGATCATTTTTAATTGACAAACTGAATGTCGGTTGCTGTGTGTAAAGTAGCGTAATGATCCCGGTTTCGTCCTGGTGCATGTTCACACAGTATCCAGGTTACTGCAACATAAAGTTGAGTCGCATGGGTCCAAAAGACAAACTCTTCTCAGTTTTTTCATCACAACAAAAGCCAAAATAAATAAAGTGACCAACATAAATAAAGTGAAATGATGTTAAATAAAGAGCTGCACTAAACCTGCACACGTCTGATCTCTGAAAATATGAACCATCTCCAACGTGACAGACACACAGAACAGACTCACCATCATCATCATCATCCCTCTGTCACAGAAAGAACACTCATATTCCACTGAGTCGCGTCCTTTAGTCCGACAGAAGCTGAACCGCATCAGCGCACAAGGAAAGAGCAGTTTTTTTCAGCGCTTATAGTTTATGCAAATGAGCCATGAGGTTTTAAGTTCAGTTTCTGTAAAACGTGAACAAACGTGTCAAAGCTGCATTATAATCTTAAACGGGCTGATGTGGTTCTAGAGTGGTTCTGGTTTATATGTTGTAAAGTTGAGTTTATTTATGCAGATTAGTAACAGTCATAATAATGATGATAATTTTAATATAAAAACATTGATGATTAATCAAAAATTTAACCGAATGCTCATCCCCACTGTGTGTCCATATGTCTTTATGGTAAACATATGAACTACTAATTTTACTAAAACAGTGATTTGCTAAACACAAAGTTTGTGTGTACAATCCCTGAGTCGTCCAGGTAGAATACATGTTCAATTTGTCAACTGGACAAAAGTTTATATGGTCAAATACATTTCGCAGCTCATCCAAGCTGTTTCTTCAGTTCTGGTGAGACAATAGTGGATACTTCCTTATTTCTGTCTGAAGGGAGGAGCTAACTACACTGAAACTGCTCTGAAACTAACACTAAATTGTCAACGAAACAAGTAGGGTGTTAGTTTCAGAGTAGTTTCAGGGTTGTTAGCTCCTACCTTCTGACAGATATAAGGCAGTGTTCACCAGTGTCTGACCAAAACTGAAGAAGCTGAAAAACGTTTTCGACCAAATAAACTTTTGTCCAGATGACAAATTGAATTTCTCCTCTTGCCATAAACACTAAGTTCCATATTCCTCTGTTCCAGGTCTAGGTGAGGGCTACAGGACTATATCAGGTCTAAGCCCAGGAGTCCACTGCACCATTTATACATTTTTTGTTTTTCGTCTTTTCAGATTTTTGGATGTCAATCGTAATCATAATACAGCACACACACACACTGAGCGATGGTTCACATGAGCAGTTGAGGTTTTGACTGTGACATAAAAATAACATCTCCATGGAGACAAGTATATGAATGTCTCACCAGAAAGCTCCACAGTGCACCTTTAACGTAGGCCTCAGTCAACATTAATACCATCTCTCATCCAATTCTCTCATTTTAGTGAACGGTCAACCCAAAATAGCCAACATACTTAACATTCTAGTCCCCGGCTCATTCTCCAGTCTGTTCTCCTCTCGCTGATTAGTTTTAAGACTTGTACTGCTCCGTTCACGATCATGTCTGTGTTTGAGAGACGCATTAGCATACACACTCGTCAGCTCGTGCGCCGTCGCTCTGAACCTAACACAGAGCAGTGATTAAAGACGAGGGCGCTCACTTTGGCAAAAACATCTCAACAGCGTCGTTTTTTTACTGTCTAAGCACAATCGTCTCCTCCAACTGGGCCACAGACGGTTCAGAGCAGAGGCGGGTCTCAGGACGGAGCTGGAAAACACGTCTGACACGAAAACATGCGTGTACCGTATCGTCAATGCCCGATTTTACCAGATCTCTGAAGCTACGCAGGGCTGGGCCGAGTTAGGACTTGGATGAGAGATCAGTTGGAATACCACGTGCCAAAGTGACGCTGCAGTAACTCTAATGCAAACTGCTGCTGTGTCATTTGGCAAGACACTTCACCCGCTTTGCCTCGTGTGAAGGTGGTGTAGATCATTTAAAGGTTGTATGGAGGATTTTTTTTTGTTTCAAATTGTCAATGATAGATTATAGAGGTGCAGTCGCCTTGTAATTATGATGACCAAAAAAAAGAGAATAAAAATTCATCAACTCTGGATGTGGTGGGGCTAAACATTTGCCAATAGATAACGACACTGCCTCGTTATCTGTTAGCTGACAGGCTGTCAATCAATCTCCCTACGTTTCTAGCGTAACTGACTTGCCTGCGCGCCGCCGGTACGTGATTTGCGTACGACTGTCACGCAGTTCACAGACGCAAGCCGCACAGACGCTGTTTACTCCACCAACGCAACAGTTCTTAGCGGCTTTTTTTGACCTATATCTTCCTCGCAGTTCGCACAAAGTTTGTTGCAATGGAGACAAGAATCCAGGAGCAGTTCGCCGCAAAAGAAAGTCCGTTTTTGAGGTCGCTGAAAGAAGAAGACAAGGGGAAAAGCAGCGAAGCCAAACTAAGGTGATTCTTGAAGATTCATTCCAGCGATGGCGCAACTGAAGCAGACGCAGGGTCTAAAGACTGAACCACTGGTCCACAAATTACTCCTGGACAGGAAACTTCTGCTTATTAAGAAAACTTACTTTATTTCCAAGAGCTACACAAACGTTTTTCAGGACACGAAAGCGATATCCTATGTCTGAAAATGTAATTTTCAAGGCAAAGAAAGAGTCCGCTTGCTGCTGCGTGTTGTAGCTAGTTCATTCGCACGGAATCTCCACGCAACCTTCTCTGCACCCCTTTCCTGCTCCTGTCCCCGCTGCCTGTTCCGCTCTTCCCCCTGCTCCTCACTTCTCCGGGCACGGAATCTCCGCGCACCCCCCTCCCCTCTCCTCTCTCCTCTCCCTGCTCCCTGCTCCACTCTTCTCCCTGCTCCTCACTTCTCGTCCGCGAACGAAATGTCCGCACACCCGCTCCCCCCGCTCCTCACTTCTCCGCCTTGCCTAACCAACACTGTAGTTAGTTGTTTACAAGTCATGTGCAGCACCGGCTGTAAACAAACACGCATGCGCAACATTTGAAAAAGGACAAACAGTCGCTGGATTTCTCGTTCCTTGGAAAATCCTCTATACAACCTTTAAGTTCTACTCGCATTTCAAAACTCAATCCAAAACTTTTGTCCAGTTGATAGAATTAAATTGTCTACTGCAACAGAACCTACCTGAGGATTACACAGAGACTGAAAACCATGCACTTTAGGTAGGAGAGTAGCCTAAGTAAGTAAATTATTTAAAAAAAGTAGTGTCATAAAAAGATAAAATACATAGTTTAAGAAGGAGATGATACTAAAAACCAGATTTTCCCATGTAATTTTGCACTTTTATAATACTATGCTGTCTGTGTGAAGCTCTAACATAATTTTGTTATTATTTTATATGACAAAGACAATAAAGGAATTGAATTAATTGAGAACAAATTGCCTTGCTCCAGTGCATTGTATAAATCACTCTTGAGGTCAAAATGTGTCCACTGTGTGCTGTCTGCATCTAATTCGTTAGCATGCTAGTGGTTGCTGGCATTACCGTGCTCTTTGGTCTCTGAGAGTTGTGAAAAGCACTTATAAACTCATCACGGTGAATAATTAGGATGCTTGGAATGCGTAAGGTAAATAAGAACTAACTTTGGACTTTATTCACACACACACACACTCATACAGCAGTGTTAACCATTAAACTATCATAAAATCTGAAGGTGAACCCAAGATGATGTCATATACAGTAGTTGTCAGTGGCCTGCGCTCATTGGTACTAGCCACACTGGCACCACCTAGTGCCTCCACTCAGTTTCATTTCTCTCCAGCGATAAGGTCAGGAATCAGAATACACTAGACGGTTTGCAAGAACTCCGGAAGTTGTAGATTGAGCACCGGTCAATCAGCGAAGAGCTCTGAAGCTGTGATTGGGTTCTTTTTGTAGTACAGCACAACAGTAAACAAAGCGGTCGAGATGGATGTAGACGAAGACAGACATTCTGTGTTGGCAACGATTCCCAAGATCGAGGATTTAAAGCTGGAACAAAGAGAATGTTTGGTGAATTTTATCAAGGGGAAAGACGTTATTGCCTTTCTTCCTATAGGATTTACATACATCACGACCAAATAGCAGCGATTGGTTAAATAATCAAAGTACCCTCCGATCACTGCGAGAACAAATCCTAATGCTGCGAGGTCAGACAGTTTCCACAAAGTGAAACCTGCTGATGAATCAGGCTAGATTGGCACATGGGCCCAAAAATAATTTTCTCTTCCACATTTACTTCCTCAACAGGGGCGAGCTCCTCCCTCGTCTCTAACGTGCACGTGCGGAGCATTTGGATCAGTCAGAGCGAGAGCTGCTCAGAGCGGGGCTGGGCTGTGTCTTATAAAGTAAACCTTTAGGCGCTTTGAGGATTTAAACATTTTTAAAAGTTTGTGTTGTGAAAATAGAAAAGAATCCTACCAAATCTGACCTTTGTGAAATCTGTGGACACCTTTTCAGCCGAACACGGGCAGTTTGAATTCCCAAAAAACGCAAGAGAATTCTTTCCTAAGCTCCGGGGAGTTGCAGTACCTGGAGCAGCCACTTGTCCATCTCGAGCTGCTACAGATGGAGAATGTCTTATCCAGTTTTTATTATAGATCTATGATATACACGTAGACACAGGGGGTGAGGTTAAGAGACACAAGACAGTATTGCCCAAAGACACAATGACAGCATTCGTCTGTGGGAGCTGGAATCACACAGTCAATCTGTGGATCAGTGGATTTTTTCCGCTCAACTAGTGATGTTTATGTCAAGAGCAGGATATGAATCGCCAGTGGACAAACGCTCTACTCACTGAGCTACTGTTGCCCTGGTTCTAATTCTGTACATCGACTTTAAACGCTGATAACACGACTCAAATTAAATCAGTGAGTATCAAAAATACACCTCTGTCCCATTCTCTCTCATCACAATAGCTCCTGTTTGTGCCCAGTCTTCCACAAACCCTCCCTCCTCTTTACTCTCCCTCTCCCGGCTGTGGATGTGTTTATCTGCAGCCTGCATTGTGACTGAGCGAGGGGCCAGTCTGGAGCCGGTGGAGGGGCCCCGGGGCCGGTTGTGTGAGGTGCCAGATGTACGGAGGGGGGAGGGGGCCCGGGGGGAGCCAGCACCTGTAAACATGGCCCTGGATGAGGTGAGTCGGAGCCAGGCGCACAGTTGGTCTCCCCCAGGCGCAGACTCTCCTATCACCGCCGCACTGTCCCCATCGCGCTCGCAGAATGCACAAGTATGTTTACGCAGGAGGAGAAGAGAAGACTGCGGGATTATAATGAGCTAAGTTCAGTCTGATGAAGTTGGAAAACTGTAGGCACTGCTCTGTCTGGAGATCTGTCGCTCAAGTCAGACTTTAATCTCAGCTGTTTGAACACAATTTGACCAAAAAGAACTCAAAAAGGTGAGCTGATGTGTTCTGTTAACAGTGTTGGGAAGGTGACTTTTAAAATGTATTCCCCTACAGATTACAGATTACATACCCTAGAATGTAGTTTGTAACGTAATCCGTTAAATTACTTAAAGTGAGTAACGTAATCTGAATACTTTGGATTACTTGATTTGTTGTAGAGAAACAAAGACGAGGAAATCGTAACATAAGATGTTTTGTCTGCTAAAAGAAAATAAAAAGACCAGACTTTACTTAACCAAATTAAAAATAGTACTGATAGAAGAAGAGGAGGCACAGTCCACGCAGCATGGTTTGTCCTGTTAAATCCTGTTTGAGACATAGTTTAGACCTGTTATAGTCCTGGTTTAGTCTTGGTTTAGTCTTGGTTTAGATCTGGTTTAGACCTGGTTTTAGTCCTGGTTTAGACCTGGTTTAGACCTGGTTTGGACCTAGTTTAGACCTGGTTTTAGACCTGGTTTGGACCTGGTTTAGTGTCCGGTAATGAGTGGAATTACCAAAAAAAAAATAAAAAAAAAAAAAAAAAAAAGGGATGTAGCCCAAAATGTGAAAACAGGAAAATACCACAGTGTAATCCATTTACTTCAACAAAGTAACTGTAATCCAATTACCACTCACTGAAACAGTAACTGTAACTGAATACAGTTACTCATAATTTGTACTCTGATTATGTAACTCATACTTACGTACATGTAATCTGTTACTCCCCAACACTGGCTGTTAAACAAGTCCCTCTCAAATAAAATTACAGTCACCAAAATATCTTGATATCGTATCGTCAGAAGTCTCTCAGTAATATCGTGGGCCATCATAATATATCGAATCACAACTTTCTTTGCTTAAATTTATTGTTATGGTGCAGCAATGTCTAAAAAAACAGAGGGAACTACATAGACCAGACATGTCAAACTCAGACTCAAATTTGGCCCACGGCACAATTATATCTGGCCCGCGAGATCACATCAAATCTGTATTAGAGCTGGCCCGCAAAGCTACAGATTTGTTCTGGATTCAAAGTTTAAGCAAAACTATCATTACATTTATTTAAATAAGAAAAGGTTTAACATTACATATCTCGAAGAAGAGAAAACATGCGGATGTTGCTGATATATTTAGTTTGGCCCACGATTTAGTCCCAGTTTTTTATTTTGGCTTCTGTGATCCTTTACTCCGTTTTCTCTGCAAACTACATGAAGAAATAGCAGTTCTAAACACTTTTAAATCTTTTTTTTAAATTACATCTTGTCAAGGCATTTTAAGAGGAAAAAGTAGCCGCACTGTACCATGAGAAGTATATTGTGAAAATATCGTACCATGAGATTTGGATATTGTTACATCCCTAGTCACAAGTGATCTAGCATTGGCCAACAGTCTTTGACCAGAGATCCCGAATCTAGCCCTAAAAGTCCCGTAAATTACACTCAAACAGAATACTGAGTAGTTATTTTCTGACATTAAAAACTGTTCGTAGAGAGGTTGAGTCGACTGCACGCAGCCCTGACGGTTTCGAGATGCTCTGTTCGTAAAAAGTACATTTGCCTTGGTCGCCTCCTACATCATAACAGGGAAGAGGGTCTGATTGAAGGCGCGGGCAGACATTACGCTATATTCTGTCACGTTTGGAGCCAAGTGGAGAGCAGAGGGGGGACAGAGACGTGGAGTACCAGCAATGTGAAGTACCACAACCAAACTTCCCTCTACGTCATGTAGTGTAGCTCACCACGTCGAGTTGTTTGTTTTTAGTGCGGACGCTCCGGGTTCAAGACCCCGATTGGTTGTTTACATTTTTATTTTGTTCTTTCTTCAATTTTCTGTATGAACAAAATAATTCATTAAAAGTCAGTGTCCCTGCCCCGTCCAGAATTTCAGCCAACACTGTCCTAAATTTCTGCCAATCTCATCTGGTCACCCCACACTCACCGTTTTTGTTCTTGTTGATCACAGGCTCCTGAAAACCCATCTTTGATTGTGATTTTGTACTCTGTCTTGAGTTTAAACCTTAAAACTTTTTGTCAGTGTTGACAGTGTGAGCACTGTGTCATCATGGTTGCTGCAGAACATTTTGTCATAGACATACATGTAGAACAACCCCATTGTGATGTCACCACGAAGTATCAATAGGTCGAGTTCACGTGACTTTAACATGGAGCTGAAGCACAGGTCAAAATTGTGTTTTTTGTTGACTTGTTTTATGGTTTATATCTCTGTAATTACTGAGCCACATAAAACAAAAAACTAATTCTAGAATAGTGTTAAGCATTATTTATTTATGTGTGTACAATCCACGTTTTCGACCAAAATAAACGTTTGTCCAGTTGACATATTGCTGATTTCTCCTTTGCTACTATTCATTTACTCCCCACAGATTTTCTTCTATAGTCACAAGCGCCTTGGGCAGCCAAACAGTGTCTTATGCAGCCTCTTTGACTAACGCTCACTGACCACAACCGGGCAAGAGGGGTGAAGTGTCTTGCCCAAGGACAGAATCATAGTATGAAATGGTTAAAGAGGGATTTAATATGCAACTTTTGGGTTAGTTGATATATGCATGGACAGTGGTGGAGTTAGCAATTTGGGGGCCCTAAGTTTGGAACTTAAGAACTTAAGTTTGTAAGTAAGTTTCCCTATAAGGCACCATTTTTTGTTGTTGTTGTTGTTGTTTTTTTTTAATACATTTATTGTCTGTTTTTCCCCGTTGTTCTTGAGACACGCACATCTCTAGTTATTTAAATTATAGTGGATTGGAAAGTTGTCTTATTAGTTCGGTCGCCAACTAGATAACCAGAACTGAAAGTTTTATTTTTTTGCTTGTACAATTACATTTTTGTTTCCATCCATTACAAATGATTATTATTTTTCTTATGATTATTGTTTAAAAGTAAACTACTCTCAATGTCATATTGAAAGAAAACAAATTGGTCCTCAGCCATTAGTGGTACTGAGGGTAACTGGTTGGGGGCCCCTCCAGGTTTGGGGGCCCTAAGCAGCTGCCTATTTGCCTAATGGTAGCACCGCCTCTGTGCATGGACCACAAACTTCTGTTGCTACACTCTTGACTAGTAGTTACTACCTTCTACAACAACAAAGATGGTTCTGGGTTCAATTACCAGGTCTCCTAGGCCATTATTTGTGCAGTTTGCATGTTCTCCCTGTGTCTGGGTGGGTTTTCTCTGGGCACAGAGGCGGCGCTATCTTTAGGTAAAAGTAGGCGACTGTGTAGGACCCGCAAACAAAATGTCCGCTGCAAACTTGGGATGATTTCTTAGGCAGTCAAAGGTTTCCTTTTTCGTCCTTCCCGTGTATCAATCCTGCCTTCGTCTTTCACTATTTTTCAATTCCGTTGGAAATGGAAACAGTTTGAACAGAGGTTTGCAGTCACACACATCTGATTCCCTTTTGCATTTATGGAGTTCGCAAACAAATTTCTTGAGGCATTTTCCGCAGTTAGGATCCAACAACCACACAATGACGATGTCCGAACCAGAAACAAAAGTGATATGGTTCAAAAAACTTGAAAAGATCGGCTTTGACAATAGACGCATCCCACTGGGAAAACAAACATGGTGGTTTGATGCTCACTTTTTCGGAAAATCCTTCCCAGTAAGCATTGCACAATGACCGGAAGTCCGAGATTCTTGATGCGTGTGTTTGCCCACAGTGCCACTAATGGACTCAGAGCAATTTAGATTTTCTCTCAATATGATATTAAATGAGATTAGTTCATTTTTAAACAATAATCATAAGAAATAATAGTAATCATATTATGTAATGGATATAAACAAAAAACAGTACAACAATAGTGAAAAACAAAAATGTAATTGTACTAGCAAAAAAATAAAACTACTTTCAGCTCTGGTTTTCTAGTAGGCGACTGAACTAATAAAACAAGTTTCCAATCCATCATAATCCAAATAAATAGAGATATGCATGTCTCAAGAACAATGAGGAAAAACAGACAATATATATATATATATAAAAAAAAAAAAAAACTGTGCATTATAATGAGGGCCTTAAACTCCACCACTGTCTGAGCACTCGGGTTTCTCGGGTCAAATTTAGAGAAAGAATTTCCCTCACAAAGAATCAGTAAAGTAAACCTATGTATTTGTTCTATCAATTTACATTTTCTTACTATACTGACCAAAACAAGTCCAAATGAATTAATAAACTCAGTGCTTGAAATTATACGGTAAGAATTCTGTCTTCTCTCCTTATTCTGTTGTGTTTTATAGACATACGGCAGAGACAATAAAAACAACATTATTACCCAGTTATTAAAATGAATTCTCTTTTCTCTTTAAACAAGCGCAGCCGCAGTGATGTCACGACAGCCTGTGTGAAGAATGTCTGTTTTTAATGCCTTTAAAGCCCATTGAAATGAATGGTACAGTAAATACGGAGTTGTTTGTGCGGACGTAAATCCAGCCTGATGGAGTTTTTGTGTTTTTTTAAGCAAAGTACCTCTTGTAAAAGTAGTATATTAGAAGAACAGGGTATTTTATGTGTCTTATTCAATAACACGGGGCTTTCTGTTGCAATAAAAAATGGCTTAAGGTGGAATCTGCTATTATTACAGCTCCACCGTTTTCTGATCTCAAGTGAGCGTTATTCTGCCAACTAGTTCTGATTTTATTGCTTGGGTAGAGGGTCAAAATTGGGACTAAATGGGGACTAAACCTGGACTTCTTCTGTGTAGCCTGCCAACCACCATAACTTGGAC